GGATTCTATGATTCTGTGATTCTACTCTGACTGAGTGAGGCCACATCTGGAGTATTGTGGCCAATACTGGGCTCCCCAGTTCAAGAGAGGCAAGGAACTACTGGAGAGACTCCAGCAGAGGCTACAAAGCTGCTGCGGGTCCTGGAGCATCTCTGTGCCAAGGAAAGGCTGAGAGCCCTGGGGCTGGGCAGCCTGGAGAAGAGAAGCCTCAGATGGGATCTGATCAATGTTGATCAAGAGCTAAAGGGCCCTCAGGGATCAAGAGGCTGGGGCCAGATTCTTGTCAGTGGTGCCCAGTGACAGGACAAGAAGCAACAGGCACACACTGGAACCCAGGGGGTTCCATCTAAACGGGAGGCAAAAATTCATTTCTGGGAGGGTACCCAAGCCTGGAGCAGGCTGCCCAGAGAGGCTGTGAAGTCTCCTTCTCTGGAGAGATTCCAAACTCACCTGGATGTGATACTGGGCACCCTGCTGTGGGTGACCCTGCTGGAGCAGGGGGGTTGGACAAGATGATCCCCAGAGGTCTCTTCCAACCCCATCATGCAGGGATTCTGGGATTCCCCAGCATGGCTGCGAGTGGTCCAGCAGCACCAGGAACCAATTTGGAAGATTTTCATAGTAATGAAGGGAATCTGGAATAAGGCTGGAAGCTGGCCTCGAAGGGAACCCTGAGAGGGTCACCAATGACAACTCATTTCCATCTTCCGATGCAGGAGATGGAGAACAGCTGCTGTCTCCCTGCACCAGTGCTGAAGGAAGGGAGGGGGATGCTGCCAAAGCTGCCTGGTCCAGCTCTGGTTCGATGATTTGCAATGTCTGAGTAATTATCCCAGTTCCCTCTCCTCACAGGAATGAGGGAACACACCTGCAGCACTGGAGGAAGCCAGCAGCTTCCTCAGTGCACACCCAGTCTCCAGGAACTCTGTATTTGCTATGCAGCAGTGAAGGGGAGAAAATCAGCTTCTCAGAGTGGCTCAAGCACAACCCGCAGCACAAAACCACCCTGGGGCAGCACTGGGGCAACGGCTGCAGCAGTAAGGGAGCCTCCAACAGCAAGGCAGTGGGAGCAAAGCCCTGCTTTGGGGAACTTGGCATTACAGGTGTGTATGATGGAGGTTCTTCCTCCACACTTCCCAAACAGGAAAAATAGGATTTGGGGGTTCATACCTTGGGAAGCTGTGCCCGTATATCTTCTGAGCCTATGAATATGCTCTCCAAGTGAGACCATGTACGCTGCACTTCAAACCAGAGGGAGATGATGGAGTCTGTAGTGGACAGCTTCTTCTGCCACGCAGACACTTCCTCCAGGAAGAAAGCAATGCATTTGGATGTCATTAAGTTCTGCAGCTGCACCTGGTTGTCTTCTAAAGTTTCAATAAGTTCCTCATCTGACTTCAGCAACAGGATGTTCGTCCGGGGGTGAGGCTCATACTGAAACTCCATGGTGCTCCAAGTCATGTTCAGCTCCTTCAGGACTTTCTCCATACTCATTTCTTGCACTGCTTTGTCCACGATGCCACGAACCTCATCCTCAAAGTTATGCAGTTTGAGCTTCAGGAGGTCAGCCAGTGTGGTGTCCGAGTCCATCACAAACCTCACACCTGTCATTTGCATCAGTTGATTCCAGTGTCTTTCTCTAATGGCAGGATTTTGAAGTTCTGCCACAGCTTTCAGGGACGTCAGTATGTTCTTAATCTTGCTGTCCAGCCCAGCGAAAGCATCCCATGCCCTCATCTCCTTATCCAAATTCCGAATCTCTCTTGCAAACTTTTTACATTCCAGATCCATGTTTTCCACATTAATGTCCACCCATTTGGTGGTCTGCCACTCATCAAGGCTAGTGTTCACAAGGGAGATCATATCCCAGAGCTCTTTCAGAAGACACAGCTCCTTTCTGCACTGCTTCAGTTGTTTATAATCTGGCACCATGACTTCAAACAGACAAGCTGATTCATAAATCAAGGTCATGGCTGACTCCATTTGTTTAATCTCAGTGTGCTTTGCATCCAGCAGTTGATAAGGCTTTTTGGTGTCAAACCTAGAAAGAAATGTTTATTCATCCTAAGTGATATTGTAACAGCTTCTAAAGAAAACATAAAACAAACAGTGCATGGAAGAGACAAAGCAGAGATGAAACGTCTGTAGTACACATGGATGGTGCAGCCACACGGCACTACTGACGTCACCTCAGAACAACATTGTGCACTCAGCAGCCAAATTCCATCTCTTGCTATCACTGGAGCACAACTGGAGCACAACTGGAGCACTGTCCCGGTTAGAAAGCAGAATTGTGTCCCACCTCCCTTATCCCTTAGTTCTCACAGGTAGAGAGGTAAATAAGGAAGGCAGGGGTAATGAAAGCTTTGCACCAATTGAAAAGTTAACAAAATGAAATATATTATTTAACAGGGTAAAGGAAGAAGGGTAGGGGTTTAACAGGGTAAAGGGATTATAATAATAACAAAGCAAGGAAGATTAAACTTCCAAAAATAAAAAACCCAAATGCTGTGCTGAGGCTCCCCAGTGCTGGATCTCGCTGGATTGAGGTGGATGCACAATCCTTGGATGTAGATGGAAGCAGGGAATGAGTCTGTAGATCAGGCCCAGGTTCCAAGATGGCTACAGCCACGTGCAGCACAGGAAAACCACAAGCAGCAGCAGAGCAGTGTGTCCACGGCCAGGACCCCAGCAGAGGGGAAGAGCAGAGAGCAAGAGAGAGAGAGGCGTGTCTTCTCGCCTCTTTTATAGACCCCAGCAGGAAGTCCTGAAGACAGGAAGAGGGGAGTGGGAATAGAACAGGAATAAGCCCCTTTCATTCAGGCTTGCTCCTCGTTTTAGATTTCAGATCTCCACCCAGCAGGAGCAGCAGGTTTCAAACCATTACAAGCAAAAACCCCCCAAGCAAGACAGATCCCACACTGGGAGGAAGCAGGACATGTACGCACGGCCTCGAGCGTACGGCCGTGGGACGTGCGGAGATGATCCCAAAAAGCTTTTTTTTCCTCAGGGCTCCTCTGACTCTACAACTTGCCCGTACCTGAAGGGTGCTTCTTGCTGAAACCGCTCTCGGAATCGGTGCTGCTCGGCATCGAAGGCCGCGCAGCTCTTGCGCAGAGCCGTCATCTCATTGGCCTGCAGAGGGGCCACGTGCTGCTTCACAGCCACCGCCAGCTTCTTCAGGTTGGTCCATTTTTCTGGCAGCTCCTGCAAGCGGAATTTAAAGGCTGGTAAGGCAGCATTTGCTGTTGGATACACGACACGTCTGTTCTGTTTATGGATAATCACAGAGCAGGAAAAACAATAGATCCCATGTCTAAAACCGTAAGGAAGCTTTGTTGTGATGCAAAGGCTCAACACACAAGTTGGGAGGAAACTTCCCAGTCAGTCACAGTTTTGAAGACTTACTTTTGAGACCCTACAACTGGCTGCTCTGGTTGTATAAACATGCTCAATGATTCTCAAGAAGGGTCCCAGACTCAACCCTGGGCTCCCAGGATGGTTCAGTGCTTGGGACAGAACAGTGATCCTAACACCAACCCCACCGGACCCGGAGCCTGCTGGGAGCAGCTGAAGGCAGAAGACCAGGCCATGGATGATCATCAGGTCGTCCAGCTTCCCAGAGCTAATTAAGAAACAGAGCCTGAGAAATCTCCTGTCAGCTCTTAGAGTAGATGTTAAACCTCAAGGACTTCTGGAGAGCTCTCTGGGGTGAATCCCTCCAGCCTGTGTATATAATATTAGTACTAAAAAAGGCTGGTTTCTTCCTCAGGTCTAAGCTGCAAGCATGCAGCACTGCTGAGGCTCCACCCTCTGATGGGATTTGCTTCAGAAAGGAATATCGTTTCTTCTCATTGGGCTTCTTGGGCCATGTCCCAGGCCCAGACAGTGACACCAGGCAAGGGCCCTGCTGCCCTCCAGTCCAGTGCTTTGCTCTCGGGCAGCAGGCTTCCCCATGTACCGTGCAAGCCCACAAGAAAGACTCTGGGTTTCATTTCATCCCACTTCACATAACTGAAGAGTCTAATAGAGGCCCACCAACACTATGGAAAACAGAGGAATAACCCAGAGGCAGCTCTGAAGCAGCAGAAATGGCCAGAGCAAGGCCAGTCCCTCCTGAGAGGTCTCTTTTTGGCACTTTATATTCCAGTCTCAGTAGAAATCCCTCTCCATGACCACAGCAGGGCACCCACGGAGCCGATTCCTTGTCCTTCTCATACAAGCTACCAGCTCCAGCCCACCCATCTCCATGGCCATGGAGGGAGCAGTCCCTAGAGGAACTTATTTCTGGTTTTCCAACTGTATACAGGAGTGAATGAATCATTCAACTACATGTTGCTGTCACTGGCCAGAAAGAACGAAACTGTTTTGTTAACCTCCTGCATCTGAATGGCTGCTCCACATGACTCATTTCTTCTATCAGAAACAGAAATCAGTTGTTTGAACGTACTTGCACAAATAGGCACCAAACCAGCAGCTCTCAGGCAGAGGAACTGGCAGAGCTGGTTTCCCCGCAGCACCACATTTTATGCTGGACTGAAGCTGTTGCAGCAGCCAGAGCATCCAATGCAGGTCCCCTGATTTTCAGGGAATTTATAGGGACCTAAGCATCTTTATGACCATTAACTATTCCAGATTTGGTGACCTGATCACCCACAGGTCATGGCTGCACAAGGAGATACCAGGGGGATTGCTAAACCCCACTCAGCTCCCATCCAAACCTGCAGCTGACAACTGGAGCCTTTGCTGTACAGGCACATAAGGCAGAAACATCTACCCCAAAGGTCCTGCTTTAAACCTTTTGTCCTACAGACCCCTCTGCCCACAGCACCCTGTGACTACAGGGTGCCCATCAGCATGTCACCACATGCTTCTCCACTGCAGCATCTCAGCTGTTGCCAGTGCTTGTCTCCTGTTCCCCCAGGCTGGCACCCCACAGTCTTCTCTAACCTCCATCTCATGTTCCCCTTTCCAGAAACGAAAGGAACTCACAAAAAAAAAAAAAAAAAAACTGATTCATCAGAGCCAGATGTGGAAAGGTGCCAAAATACTTTCATAACCTGCTCCCAGTGATGTCCTCTGGGTCAAGCAGATTTGTTGTTACAGACCCAGTGGAGGACTGAAGTCCTATGAGAAGGCAACTCCTCTGCCAGCATTATCCTCTCATCTCCACAGTTGCCAAGAACTGGCTTATTTAAAAATAATTATAATTCACCCTAATTAACAGATGTATTGGAAAATGCATTAATTTTTTTCAAGAGTAATTGCTGGGAGTTGGAACAGGCAATTCTATGTTTTTCATACATAACAAAAGGCTTAATCTCTGCTTTAAAAGAAAAATCTCAATATGACTCAAAAAATCAGAACTATTAAGGCACATCCCATAATAGCAAAACACTATCCACTGAGGCCCTCTAATGACAAGGAGCGGGGGCTTAAATATTCCTGCAATGCTCTTAAGCTCACGCTCTCATTGACATCTGCTCCTTGGCAAATTGGTGTGTCCACCACGAGGTTCCACCCACCTCCAGCTGTTTATAGACTTCCTCTGGCAGCGGCTGCTCATATGTCTTCAGCAGGTCGATGGTCTGCTTCAGGTGCTCAAACTTGGCATCAGTGACACTCTGTCTGTCTTTAACAGCCAGGAGATGACCCATTATCTCCACCAAACCATCATAATTGCCTTTTTCAACCTTTTTGCTCAAACCTTTATCGGCAGTTTTGATGAACTCATCGAGGTCAGCCAAGCTACACAACACAAAGTGGGAAAGCACAAAGTGAGAGCTGCTGAAATAATGCTCCGCTTGACACCAGGAAGCTGGACGTGGGCATGGGGAAGGCCTGGCTAACCCTGCCCATTGCATGGCAATGTGCCGAGGGCATGAGAACCACAGCTCGTGCTCTGGGGATCTGTAGGTGTGGTACAGCTACCTGCAAAGAAGAGGCTGTGACTTCTCAGGCTGGAGAAAAGGTATCTGAGGAGGAGTATAATGGAAACCTGTGAGCTCAGGAGTGGTCTGGAGAGAGTGAGTCTGAAAGGACAGTGTTCATCTCATCTGTTCCAATACAAGAAGTCAAGATCGACAAGTGAACCTGGCAGGTTGCAAAGCTACAACCAACAGGGATTGTTCACACACTGCCTCATATCACAGTGTAACTCCCTACTGCAGGAGGATGCAGGTGGTAAAAATTCACAGGAGTTAAAAAAAGCAACCAAACATCTGTGGGAGAAAAAAAAAATCCATCCAGGTGTTGAAATAGAAAGCGGAGTTCAAGGGAAGTTTCCCTACCTGCTTACCCTGTTCTTAATCTCACCAGCTACTGGGGACTGTAGGGAGAGGCATGATAGGCTCCTGGATCTCTGGGCCTTTCCAGAACAGCCATTTTTCTCTTCTCGAAACACTTTTTAGGCACCCATTTAAATTCTGTGGCTGCTGTTGGGCCAAAATGTATCCTTAAATACTTCATCTAATAAAGACTAAACTGCCGAGTCAGGGACTCTTAGTAAGAGTTCCTAACAGCACGAAGATCACAAAAACCTCATTGCACAGAGATTACCTAACAGAATTATGGTGCTCAGAAGAACACAAGAGATCACCCCACCCACCCTACCCAGCACCCTCCGCTGCTGCAAATGTCCAGAGACACTCTGTGTAAGCATTCCAGACCTGTGGCATCCTCCAGTTGCCACTACTCACATAAACCACCTGACTCATCACCCTGCATGGGCCTGGTGACCGAGCAGGGAACATATGTTAATTCAAGACTTACACCTTAACTCCTCCTTTGTGTGACCTTAAAATCACCTCCCCATGACTGCTCATGCCAGGCAACCTGAATTACATGCTTTTTTGAAAAGCAGCGTGCTTAGAAACAGAGCAAGGATCTCAAGGCATGAATGGTGAGACATTGGCCCAGGCTGCCCAGGGAAGTGGTGGACTCACCATCCCTGGAGGGATTCAAAAAATGTGTAGACGTGGCACTTCAGGAAACAGTTTGGTGGTTTTGGTAGTGTTAGGTTGATGGTTGGATATGATGATCCTAGAGGTCTTTTCCAACCTTAATGATTATATTCTTTCTTTACCAATGACTAATATCAAATTCACAAAGTAATCACATACCCAGGCAGAGATTAGATTTGATGGATGAGGATGAAGAGACAAACAGATGTCCTATCTAACACCACGCAGCAGGTCCTAGGAGCATCAGCTCATGGGATGTCAGTGGTACCAAGTCCATAGAACTGTTTCCACTTTACGCTCTCAGCTGTACCAGTTCCCAGCAGAGACCAGGGGACAGAAGACACAGAGGGCTGGAGATGTTGAAATGCAACATGGGCTCCCTTCTCTTGCTCCTGTATTAGCCTCTTGGTTATTGGTGTGAAACAATACAGCCCAACCAAGACACGTGAAACCCCCTTTGGTCAGCACCAGTCCCAGGGAGAGGAGGCAGGAACAGCCCCTACCTGTGTGTGACGTGGTCGACGAGATGCTGCTTGAACACCAAGCTCCACCTTTTAATCACGTTCAGCAAGGACGCCTTGAAAGGCCGAGCGTCGACTTTCATCCAGCCCTGGAATATTCTGCTGGGCTCGATGCGACTCACCTCCTCATAGATCTTCTCATAGGAGTCGATCTGCTCCCTGAACTGCTGCAGCGTGGGAGGCACCTCGGGGACCCCGTCCTCTGCGTGGGCCTCCATTTCGGCAGCCGTGAGGACGCGCCCGTAGAGGAGGAACTGGCGGCAGAGCTCCGTCCTGTCCTCCACACAGAGGGAGGAGTAGCGGTGGAAGGTGCTGCGGTACTCGCAGCAGGCGGCCACCGCGGCCTGGACACGGCCCATCAGCTCATGGCGCAGGTTGGCCAGGTCGGCCATGTCCTCCATGTCCTCCTGGGACAGCAGAGGAGAGCGCGGTGAGGCGGGAGCAGCCCGGGGCCTCCTCGCCGCCACGCCGCCCGAGAAAGCTCCACAGCTCTTGTGGTTTGAGGCTTGACGGGCAGGACAGATAACAACCAGGACCCAGAGGGTCCTGGGGTGGAAGCGGTTATTCCCTCCCCCTTCCTCTCCACACTCTATAAAAGGGGCAGGAGGTGGGTGCTCCCATAGGAGAGCGCAGCGGGGCTGCATCCGCGTGGTTCCGAGCAATCCTGCACCAGCCGAGATTGGGTTTTGCACATCTTGTATTTACTTTGTTTTCCCTCCATCTTTGTGTATATATCTACCTTCCTTCTTGCTTTCTGTTCCCTGATAAACAACATCCTTTATTTTCATTAACTTCCAGTCGGTGCAAAGTCTCTCTTACTCATGACTTCCCTTGTTTATCTCTCCATATGGGGAAAACTAAGGGATAGGGAGGGGGAGCACAGATTCTGCTCCGTGGGGTCCTGCCCTGAGCCCTTAAAAGGAGACAACAGCCACCCACCTGGTAGTGCAGGAAGCCGCTGTGCTCAGCCAGCCTGGGCACCAGTGACGAGATCCGGTAGATGTCGTTGAGAAGACCTTCCACCATGTCATAGAAGCCATCGTTTGTGCCAGGGTCCAAGGAGGGTTGAAATATCAAGTCTGGGATCACCAAATCCAGCTGCACCTCAAAGAGGGGAGCGAGCCCTGCCTTGGGATCTGGTAAGGAAGATCAGAAATGCCGGGATCTTTTTCAAGGGGAGAAAAGTGATCTTCAGCCACCACTAAAATCCCACCACAAGACACACACGTGCCCCAGAGGGACACCAGGCAGGTGCTGTCGCAGACAGTGACATGGTGTCTGCTGCACACAACGTGGAGGAGGTGCTGGCAAACTAGATGATGTTCTGCTACCCACAACAGATGAGGCACAAGTGATTTAAGGACTTGAAAAAAATGCTGTGCAGGAAAAGCCTTAAAGAGACCAGGCTCTTTAGCTAATCAAAAGGGACTCTGAGAGCTGAACAATTACAGTGCCTAAGTACTTACAGAGGAGAAAAACAACAGGAACCAAGAGGCTCTTTAATTTAGTGGGGAAAGGCAAGAAAAAAAACCAGCAACTGGAAACTGAAGCCAAATGCAAATGTGAAATTATGTGTGGGTTTTTAAGGTGGTGAAGAACTGGATGCAATTTTCCAGCTCCGTGCCTCCACACCCAGGAGGGGAGTGCTCCTGGAGATGTGCTTTAGCTGGACACAAGCTGCTCTCAACAGAGTGAGCAAACCCCATGGTGGCCTCAGGCAGGAGGTCTGATTTAGTGACTCCTGACTCTACCTCATCTCCTCATGCTCAGGGACTGACTGAGATTTTTCCTTCATGCCTTCATCAGGAGCACTGGCTCTTGAGACTCTCCACAAATGAAAGATGGCATCACCTTGATGCCTGGTATATGGGTGGGCAGGGGATGGCTGATGGGATGATGCCTCAGTTTTGTCTGTCTATTAATCCCTGCAAACGGTGCAGAGTCATTTCTAACCCTCCCCCTGAGAAATGCTTTGTGACAGTGACGGGGGGGATGGAGCCACCCTCCCTGTCTGGAGGCTGCCCCAGCACTTGCTGTAGACTGTGCAGGAGGCACAGCAGAAAGACAGGAAGAAGTGAGCAGTTCTTAGGCATGAGGGAGAGCACGAAAGAGAAACCTCCCTTTGGTGGCACTGGACCAGCCATCGTGAGCAGGGGAGAAGAACCAGCAGTCACCTGTGTTTTCCAGGAGGTACTTGAGCGAGCACTCAATGGCAGTGAAGAATCCATCCAGGACTATCTCATCCAAATAATCCACATAGGCCTTCCAGAGGTCTGATGCTGGGTCTGCAAGTAAGAGGCTCTGGTTTTCCTGGAAGAAAAAAGAAGATGCCGTCAAATACAGTGGGGCTGAGTCTGTCCTACAAGAGACATCCACAGCTGAGGACTGATGCCAGTGAGCACATGAGTATCAGTCTCCTGGAGGGATGCAAAACCAGGCAGACAGATGTTGCTGCTCAGATTCTGTTGTGGTGGTATGGCCATGATTTGCTCCTTATGTCAATCACAGGACCATTTTGATTGGAAGAGACCTTTAAGATCATTAAGTCAAATCATTAACCCAGCACTGCCCAGTCACCACTAACTCATGTCCCCCAGCACCACATCTCCACAGCTTTCAAGCCCTCCAGGAATGGGGACTCCAACACTGCCCTGGGCAGCCTGGGACAGGTCTGGACAACCCTTGAGGGGAAGATTTTTTCCTTATATCCAACCTAAACATCCCCTGGTGCAACTTGAGGCCATTTCCTCTTGTCCTGTCACTTGTTCCTTGGGAGAAGAGCCTGACCCCCACCTGGCTCCAACCTCCTGCCAGGGAGCTGTGGAGACCCAGAAGATCTCCCCTGAGCCTCCTTTATTCCAGGATCAACAACCCCAGGTCCCTCAGCTGCTCCTCACTGCACTTGGGTTCTAGATCCTTCACCAGCTGCTTTCCTTTGGACATGCTCCAGCCCCTCAATGTCCTTTTTGGACTGAGGGGCCCAAAACTGACCCCACTCAAGGGCTGCTCTGTCATCTGAAACAACTATAAATAATGGCAGGGTGAAAATGGAGTGCAGAAGAGGCTTAGCAGCTCTGCAAAATGTTCTCCTCCCTCTTCTCTGAGGCTGCAGGGCCAAAGGCTGCTTTGCACACCTGGCTCAGGGAGCACTCAGGGATCTTAAAGGTTCAGCCTCAGGTACTCAGCCCCGGTGGACAATACACTGTTACCTTGAATGGATGAGGCCTTCGAGGTGGACTGCTTACACCTCTGCCCTACAAACGGTCATCCCAAGACCAGAGAACTTTTACTTTCAAGAAAGGGTTTTAAATAAACCATGTGAAAACAGATAAAGACTGGGATCAGAATACAAAGGGTTGGCTCAGCTTGTTGTGTTCCCTTCCTTCAGGAAAGCTCTCAGTCAGGAAATTCAGAGTTTTCTGGGTCACAGCAGGGACTTGTCCTTTCTGGGTTCCATCCCCAGAAGGCCAGGCTGTGTACCTGCTCCCTGCAGCTCCCAGACTCTGCTGGGATCCTGTGCCCTGCCTTGCTATGCCCTCTGAGTGCTCCTTCTTCCCAAGCCTCCCAAGGGCTCTCAACACAATCATCATCTCAGAAAACAATAAGGTCCAGCTTGCAGTGAGCAGAAACCAGCCCAGGCTGACTGCTGCCAAGGGGTCAATGCTGGCAGCATGTCATGGATGTGGCACAGGAGAGGGAGCCACCGAGAGCAGCACTGCTGGGGGGCCTGAGCCAGCCCAAAGATGCTGCTCCCCAGCATGGCACATGAAGCTGGTGCTTCAACTCCAGCAGGACGAGCCAGGGCCCCGTGCAGGCTCAGCCTAGCCACGCTCTGCTGGCACGTGGGGATGGGGAACTTCCTAGGGATGAACTCTGTGGGAAAGGCTGCCCAAAAGCACCACCCTCCCCCCGTCACTCCTCATCCTCGCATCATGTCCCTCTGACACTGGTGTTTCACTGAGCCTCAGAAAAGGGCAACAACGACGCATCGAGCTGTCCTGCCTTTGCCTTTTGGTGCATGTACCCAAACCTCACTGTGCTCCTCAGCAGCCTCAAGTGTCACCTGCCCCTCGGGAGACTGGAACAGCTGAGGGAAGCCCAGCAGCACAGCTCTTGGCCCCTCTGCTGCTACTCCTCCAGGTCAGACCAGCACAGCAGGACAGAGGCATGGGGACACCCCAGTTTGGGCCATGGTGCCTTTCCTTCCCCAGGACTTCCATGCTGCTTTGCAGTTGGTCCTGCCCCTGTGAGTGGCACCAGAGGTGCCAGCCCTCCAGCCATGACCCAAACCTCATATTCCCCTTGGCCAAGTGGTGGCTGGAGGTGGCTGGGCTTGTTACAGCTGCAGCAGCAGAACGAGGTGTGTATGGTGACATCCTCACCATGGGTTCAGGGGCTCAGAGGGCCAGGGCTGACGGCAAATAGCAAGGTAAGGTGAGCAAGAAGAGCTCAGTGTCCCAGAGAGGGTCAGCCCATTCTCTCCGGAGTCCTGGGCTCTGGTGAGCCTCAGGAGAGGGCTGGATCTGCAGTCCACCTCCCTCCAGGCCAAGGTGCTGTCCCTGGCATGCCTAATACCTCTCTGGGGCAGGGCTTCCTCCTGGCCTGTGAAGAGGACTCTCAGTTTTCACAAAGCGACTGGAAAGCACCAAGGTTTTGGACGGCAGCTTTTCTCCTGCCACTCAGCTTCTCCCTGGACTGTCAGTGTCACCTCCTGCTCCCACTGAGGGGCAACAGGTCTGAGACAGGGAGGTCAGCCACAGCCTCTGTTTTCAGATAAATATTTTGAAGGGGATTTTAACTCCGAACAGGATCCCAAAGCCTGATTCACGACTCCCCTCTAGTGGCTCCAGAGCAGGCAGGACCGGGAGGC